ACAGAGCTGGGGTTGCCCCTCTGGGCAGGGTCAGGTAGGGCTAGCCGTTGGATGGCCATCCTCTCCCTGCTCCTCCATCAGAGTGCTTACCACACCCTGGGCACCCACAGTTCTTAGTCTTTGCTTGAGAGTAGGTTAAGCCCAGTTCCACTGTAAGAGAAGTATTAATCTTTAGGCCCCAGAGGCAAGCCACAAGCTCTCCGGGGTCCCAGGAGGATCAGCTCATCTCCTCTCCATGCATGGGGCCCTGTTGCTCATGGCTGCCCCTCTCCACAGCCCCCAGGTGCAGGAGCACAAGACCTTCCACCGCTACACGGTGCGAGCCCGTCGGGGTACAGCGCAGGGCCTACGGGACGCCCAGACCCCAGGGTCGGCACCCAGGTCGGCCGGAGCCTCCCTGCGGCGTTACAACGAGGCCGCGCTGCTCAAGGTGGGGCTGGGCCACAGCATTGTGCTCTCAGCAGGGAGATGTGGTCGTGGCTGGCTCCGTGGGGTGGTACCATACTGCTGCTGGAGGGCGTGGGTGGGGTATGAGCTCCAGAAAGGTGTCAGGGCCCAATTGGGGCTGCTCTGTCCTGTGTCTGTCCCTGCTCCAGAGCTACCTGTGCCCACGCAGTGTGCTCAGGACCCCATGGTGCCTCCCCTTCCTCTCCAGGATATTCAGGACCTGCTGGCAGCCTGGGCACCGCACCTGAATGAAGCTCAGCGCATTTTCCTCCGGGCCCCGCGCCACAACCAGGCACTGCTCTTTGGTGGCAGAAATCCACCCCTCACCCGAGGTGACCCTCGCATCTGCCACATCCCCTTCAGCACCCGTAGGGCCACCCTGCGAGAGGTGCTGCGAGTCCACACCATGCTGGCCAGCCTGCAGGTGTATGGTGAGTCAGCCCAGCCCTGATGCCCCAGTGCCTGTGGATCAGAGCAGGTGGAGTGACGTGGTCCCTCCTGTAATCCCATGTGTGTTAGGGGATGCTGCCCTATGGGATTGAGGTGCTAGCTCTCCAGCCCTCAATCCCTGGAGACACAGGGTGCTCCCTGTCCCCAGGCAATGACAGGAGTACCCTTGCTGCCCAGGGAAGGACACGCCACTGGAGGACATCACTGGGTCCCCCCGGAAGGTCTGGCAGAAGAGGCGGCAGAAAGCAGAGATGGATCCCTGGCAGGACGACACAAGTGGTGAGTCGAGCCATGGAGCAAGCAGGGGGATCTGGTGTTACAGTACGGGGGCTGGGTTTGTAGCCCTGTGACAGGGCCTGGCACCACAGTGGGGATCTGCAGAGTGTGGCCTCGTGCTGGGCCGGAGAAGGGCAGGGTGTGCGTGGCTGAGAGCCCCGAGTGATTCATGCTGTGTGTGGGGCCTCAGCCCCTGTCTTATCACCCCCATCAGCCCCAGAGGAGAAGGAGGAAGAGGAGGAAGAAAGCCCTGCAGGGGAACTGGAGGTCGTGGAAGTGACACTGGGGACCTTGGACCTCCGGGAATTTGAAGTGATGCCCAAGCGAAACCGCAAAAGGAAGAAGAAGAGGGACAAGAAGGTGGAGAAAGGTGAGGGGGAAGAACTGGCCGGGGGCAGTGTAGGAAGGCGTTGTGAAAGGAACTGCCATGGCCAGGGTGCAGGCTGGCCCTGGCCCTCTTCCTCACCATGTGCTCCCTGTGCAGGGCCCTGTGACGAAGAGGCGGGCCGCCATGTTAGCCAGTGTGGGCAGCCTGGCCTGGAGCTGGTCACGGAGCTGCAGGGGGAGGCTGGGGCTGAGCCCCTTCTCTGGGGCGATGGAGGTAAGTGGGGTCTGGAGCGGGGCCAGGTGGATGCCTGCCCTATTTGCTGGTGGCTTTGCAGTGGGGTGAAGAGCATGTTGTCATGCAGGTGCCCAGGGCAGCTGGGTGTGGGATGGCTGTAGCGCAGCCACATGCCTTCGAGTGAGCTGTGTGTTTGGAGCAGTAGCTCTGAACCAGGGGGCAGGCAGCACCTGGCTCAGCCAGGTGTGTTGGGGGGGATTGGAGTGGGTCTCATCTCAGGAGAGAGGGCTTGGCTGCTGCCAACAGTGCCCAGCAATGCTAAGGCATATTGTCACAGACTCTGAAGGTGCTGGAGATCCTGCAGTGCCCAAATCCAGCTAGCAGGATGATGCTTTAACTGCACCGTGTGTGTTTCCTAGTCAGATCAGAGCACTGCTCTGCCCAGGGAGCCACCAGACTCCTCTCCTGTTCTTCCCTCATAGGAGACCCTCAGACCCAGCTCCGCGATGCCCTGTTCACTGCCTGCAAAACAGGGGATGTGGGGACGCTGCGGCACCTCCTGGGTGCGCCAGAGAACGGGGGCCTGCCAGGGGACAGCGAGGATGGGGAGGGCGCACAGCCCCTGGATATGCCCCACTCCCTGCTCAACCAGCCCGTGGATGAGCGCGGCTGCACCCTGCTTCATGTGGCAGCACGGGCAGGGAAGGCTGAGGCTGTGTGCCTGCTGCTGGAGGCGGGGGCGGACCCTGCCCTGAGGTACGGCCACAGGGCGCCCACCGGTTGATGAGCACAGCCCCGCTGTGGGAGCCCAGCGACTCAGTCCTGTCTCAGCCACGGGAAACTGGTGCCAGCTTTGTCCTGGTACAGCCGGGGTTGGTCTCTACCAGGCGGGACATCTGGGTTTGTAACGGGAGGCCTAAGAGCTGAACCACTGTTCTCTCTTTCTGCCTGGTCTGACATAGCAGCAGGCGGGCGCTGCCCCAAAGTGCTCCCAGGTTTATTGGTAGGCAGTTTAGAGGGATGAGACCACCCTTTGCAGGGCATCTGAGATGCAAGAAGGGGAGGATTTGGGGGATTCTGGTGTAGGGATGAGCAACTTTCCCCTCCTTGGCTGCGATACCCTGGCCTGCAGTACCCGTTGCACATTTCTGGGGAGTTGCTGGGCTCACAGTGGGATACAGGCAGCAAGATGGCAGGGTAAGCTGGTCTTCCTTGTCTCGCAGAGATGAGCAGGAGAGGACCCCCTACTGCGTCTCTGCTGACAAGCTGACCCGCAACGCCTTCCGCAAGTTCATGGTGGACCATCCAGACAAGTACGACTACAGCCGTGCCAAGGTGGGTGCCTGCCTTCTGCCCTCGCCTTCTGCGGTCTGGGGGACCCCAGAGCAAAGCCCCCCTCGCCCGCTCGTGCCGTTGCCCCTGACTCAGTGGGAGATGCTGACTGCCCTTCTGCGCCCAGGTGCCAGGGCCCCTGACGCAGGAGATGGAGGCCAAGAAGCTGGAGAAGAAGCGGGCACAGAAAGCCCAGCGGAAGCAGCGGGAGCAGGCGCAGCGGGAGGAGCGGCAGCGCTGGGAGCAGGAGCAGGGAGAGAAGCAGCGGTTTGCAGCCCTGTCCGACAGGGAGAAGGTGAGGCCGTGCATGGGGAAGGGGATCCATCCTGGCTGGGCCAGTGCCGATGTGGTGGGCTCTGGGCACAGCAGCTCCCAGGGGCTAGGAGGGGCTGAGCTGTCTCTCTGCTCCCCAGAGGGCCCTGGCTGCTGAGCTGAGGCTGGCTGCGCAGCTGCAGGACACCAGCACAACTCTTGCCAACATCAGGTAACAGCCCTGTCAGCACAGCTACGCAGACAAACTCTCCCACGTGAGCACAGCTGTTCCCTGCCCTTCTTGCTCCAGTTCTCATTTCCAGTCTAAAGCTATTCCTGTCCACTGATTCCCAGCAGTACCTGTCTAAGAGCTTTCTCTCTCTCTTCCCCTGCCCCCTGAAATATTTTGGAAAGAATAACTTGGTCTACTTGCAGCCAGATCTATGGCAAGCGAATCCCCCAGCCACTCCTGTGCCCCTGACGCTGCATCCCACGTCCCTTCCCTATGCCACCCCACAGGCTTGTGGGCAGCCAGCCCTGCCCGTGCTGATCTGGGCACAGGCTTTACAACTCCCTATGGGGCCAAATTCCCCCACGTTCAGCCTGCCTCGAAGTGCCTCGCCCCACAAAGCATTGCCTCCTGGGAGCGTGTCCTGGCCAGGCTGCTGGGTGAGCCCTGTAGGACCAGAGGAGCCCCAGCTCCCTCATGCTGCTGCTGTCTCATGTCACAGCCCAGGCAGTGAATCCTCTCTGCTCCTCTAACCCTCTTGCAAGTGTCCACTTTGCTCAAGGCCACCTCTGTTCTTTCCTGCAGCCGCTGCTGGCATTGTGGAGAGTCCCTGCTGGGCCGGATCCCTTTCCATTACCTTGACTTCTCCTTCTGCTCCACGGCCTGCCTGCAGACCCACCGCCGGGCCCGGGCCAGCCACACGTAAGGCTGGGGACTGCTTCCACCTGCCAAGGACCGATGTGGTGGAGACACAGCTGAGCACTGGCTGTGCAGTGAGTGAGAGCCTGCGGAGAGCGCTGGTTGGAGGGACTGAGCTGGCCATGTCACTCTCGGGGGCAAGTCTGGGAAGCCGGGGAAAGAATGTCACTCTGGGTGGTGACTCTGGGGACACTACAGCTAGGGGGTCCCTATGTACTGGTGTGAGGGGCCAGGACTGCTCTGTGGCCCAGCTCCAGCTGGGGGGTTTTGCTGCTGGCTTTTCTCATGGCTAACCTTGTAGGCTGCTGCCCATGTTGGTGGGACAGATCCTGACATATCTGGACCCCGCAGCCCTGAGCTACCTGCAGCCATGCCTGTGGGCACCCTCTGGGCTGTGCTTTGCCCTCTCCTTTCCTGGATGCCATCGGTGTCTCAGCCGTATCATGTTAGCAACTACCTCCTCTGCCTGCATTGTCAATAAAGAGGTGCCTTGACCCCCTAGGCATGGGGAGCATCAGCATGAGCACTGGAACTATTTGGGATTAATGTGCAAAACAAGCTCAATTCTGAGCCTCTTTCTCCTTAGCACAGACCTTGCCTGGCCCAAGAGGAGGGCAGGAGCTCTGGATGTCCATGCCAGGATGTGTGCCCCTTTCCTAGGGCCCTGCAGTCCCTCCCCTGTGCTTCACCCCAGCCACCTGCCATCTCTGCAGCCCCAGCAAGAAGTGATGCCGATGCCCGGCAGCCCTGCGTTTATTCTGTGGCCGCAGTGCTGCGGCTGAGGGTCCCGTTGAAAAGGGGTCGGTCGAGGAAGAGCAGGAAGGGGATGGGGGGTGCCCCCTCCAGCTCCAGCACTGTGATGTTGTTGGGGCAGCCAACATGCAGCACCGAGCCGGGCACAAAGAGGGTCTGCTGGGGCCCGCGGCGGGGCCAGTACCGGCCCAGGTTGAAGCCGTTTATCCACAGCTGGCCCTGGAAGATGGAGATGGGACTGAGCTGTGCCCCTCTCCACCCTCACCCCCTCTCCCGGCTATGCACCACCTTACCTTGCTCCAACCTGGGAACTTCACGAAGGTGTCCCAGGCGATGCCAGGGGTCTCAAAGGTCCCAGTGTAGAAGGCTGGCCCTGCTCTGCCTGGGCTGCTCGATTTTGGCAGGGCAGCGTGGGGCCAGCCCTGCTGGATGGCG